TGTGTGTGTGTGTGTGTGTAGGCCCACAACATGCCTTTAACAAAGAAGAAACGCGAACGTACGCAAAGCTTACAATAATAATAATACTATCATTCTGTGTATGTCTTTATCTTGGCAAAGGATTGCAACGGGCCAACTGCGCGCGCGGAGCTCGGGTGCATGCGTACATGCCCGAACCGGCATTTGACCCGAGGTAATGTCAAAGGTCGTCGATTTACGAGCTTTAACCCTATCCGTACGCTCTGGGGTCATTTTGTACACCCGAGATTGTATTTTTCACACTGTTAGAATACTTCTAGTACGAAGATCTCTTTAAAACTTTCTGTCTGTATTTCTCAAAAAATCATTTTGAAAGACTGCTATGCAAAGTGCACGGATCGGATTAACACTTTGCCATCACAAGGCTCATATGTGAGGCATCGTGGTGGAATCAGACTCTCGTCAAAATAATCAAAGTAAAGAAACTTGCATTTATCTGCAGGTTTGTGAATTTTTAGCAATTTTCTTTTTTGTTTTTTTTTTTTGTTTTGCTCAACACCGTTCATGCCCATTAAAGGACTCATTTCTGTGTGGATTTTTCTGAAAAACGTTGATTAAAGGCACAAAGAATGTAAATTTTTAGTTACCACGGACTCTTAAGCTAAGGAAATAACTAATCTTTGGCGGCCATTTTCTCATTAATTTTACCTCTGAAAACAGGTGACCCCCACCTCCTTCTTTCGCAAATATCTCGACTTGAATTCAAGGTAAATGGATTTTTTTTTCATCCAAATAAAGACAAATGAACAAGCTTTAATGTGATACCAATAATTCTACATGCCCAAAAATTGACGAGAGCCTGATTCCACCACGCTGCATCACATATAGTAAAAACCCTTACCATCAAAGGCAAAGGCGTACTGGGAAAATCCAAAGACAGTGGGTGGTAAACATCGCCTTTATTGTGTAAACGGAAGTACATTTCCCCTTTGGAAAGTGAAGGCACAGAGTTCCCCACGTCGTATGGATACGATGGTATAACACGACGTACGGATAGGGTTAAGTGGTTTCACAGAGTTCCCCACGTCGTATGGACACGATAGTAAAACACGACGTACGGATAGGGTTAAGTGGTTCCACAGAGTTCCCCATGTCGTATGGATACGACGGTATAACACGACGTACGGATAGGGTTAAGAAGGGCGACGGTTCCTTCAGGCTGATACATTTTGTTCCAGATACGTTACTGACAAGTTACAGCAGAGGCCAGCCCCCACCCTATCAACATTATTGCGCAGCCCCACTCCACCCCCAACCCCTCT